AGGAGAAACCAAAAAAACCCTATGGGCAATGGTCATCCTTACACAGAATAATTCACACATTAGAAGTGTGCATGTGAGTTAGAGGATTACCTGTATGATAAAAGGAGTGCATGCTTTCTGTCAAAGGTTAACACGTCAGCGTTTTATGTTGTTTCCTTGAGCTTATGTCGAGAAAGCATAACTGGCTGTCTATATCGATTCTAGCTCGCCATACAATAACCATAATCATAGTGATTCAATCATAGTTGATCTCAATTAGTGTTACATTACGCCGGTTTATATCCTGTCAGCTCTGCTCAGTGTTTTCAGCTCCGTTTCGTTTTGAAACACTTAACGTTAGCAACATAGCTGCTAACACGGCTATTAGCTACTCAGCTAGTATTAGCTCCTAAGTGTCTTAAACGAAAACGGAAAACCTAGTCGCCGTTTAGGAGGACAGATACGGCTCAAATGTCCCGTATACGTCGAGAGTCACACATTATGACAATCTTAGTAAAACCAAAGTCCCTCACACAATAACTGATGTTTGCATGGCATAACTTGCATTGGCTGTAAAGCTGTGGATGACGGTCACAGAGATAATCCAGTAGATTTGTAGTGATGCTACCCTTCGCAGCAACTTTCTTTCTGCATGTTCTACACACAGGATAGGTGTCCTCCATTAGCTGTCCCTCAGCATTCTTCAGAAACCCAAAGTACACCCAGACCTCAGACTTTGTGCGTTTAGTTAGGGGGAAAATGTCCTGAGTGCCGCTATCACCACCTTCCGCCATGTTTTCATTCTTTGTGTTTACACACGCTACGCATTCACGCAACGCCTGCATCACGAGACTTGAATGAGGCTGTTATTACATATCCTGATAATCCACCGCGATAATGCAATTAATTTAAACATAAACAGTAATTCTTACCGTGTAAAAATTAACTGAGATTTACCGTAATATCGGAAATCGTTACATACCTACAGACCAATACATGAGTCCTCAAAAAATGGAAACTACGATTTTTTTTTCTTGGTGTAAAAACATCACAAACATTAAATGTACATTTAGTCAGTCACAGAGAGCAGACCTATGATGTAGGGTTGCAGTGATCTGTCGGTTTTGAGGTATACTTCGATAAAAAAGTTGACAGTTATCGCGTGTATATTTGCTTATCTATAATATTGGAAAAAAATATAACCAGATAGAGAACCTCCCCCTTATTTTAATTATTTTCAAAGGGGAGACTGTTTACATTCTACCATTGACAACGTGGTTTCAAATCTGTATTACAGTAATTAACATGTTTATCAAAAAATAACCCTTCCATTTTCATTCCTTTAAGAGCCATTCTAATGACAATACTATAAATTCTGTAATACCATGAAACTGTGAAACTGCAATATTTTCTGAGATGGTTTTCGTATCGTGAAAATTTCATACTGTTGCAATCCTACTGTGATGTCAATAGAAAGTACGTTTTTCTCGCCACTCCCCACAAGCAAAAGCCATGCTTGGCACAGAAAGGAAAGTCATGACAAGAATATGACAAGGCAAAACAGCAACAACCAACAACCTTGGGGGAAGCAAATATCAATATAACCATGAGTATTCATATTTCACCAAATCAACAGCATGAAAGGGTCATACAAGTTCAGCCACTCAAAGAAATTATTCACAATAATCCCAATACTTTTCATTGGTAGATGATTAAAGTATACTAGCAGAAAAACAGCAGCAAAGAAAATCCAGCCCACAGCACAACTACTGTTCAGTCATTAAACACAAGACAGCAGGAGAGCAAAAACGTTACAGCCAACTGTAGCTTAACCAAGCAGCCAAACAGTGACTAAAAAAGTCAAAGATTAACTGGAAATATATCTATAATGTTTGCTGTATGCTAGTACAAGCAATAAAATGCGAGAAAGAGTCCCAAGGAGCCAAAGGCAGAATAGAAAAGTTTCAGATGACCGTTGATGAGGAGTCATAATAACCCAAACAGTGACATTAGCTAGCTTAGATCACAGTACATTAGTAGCTAGACACCTAGGCTACTGTCATCTATCCCTACTTCTGTGAGCAAAAAAATTAAGCCAGCACCAAAGATATCAAACACAAGACAGGAGAAGAGCAAAAGGCAGCCAGCCTGGCAGCCTCTTCACTGTTAGCTATCCAAACGTTAGCCTCAGTGTTACCAACTGCTCATCATGACTGTTAGCTAGCTTAGCCAAATGTAGCTAGCTTAGCCAAACGTAATAGGCTTAGCCAAAACATCAACTTATGATGTAACTGTTACATGTCAGAACAGGCAGCTAATTCTTACCTTGCTGAGGTGAAGCCATGATTCCTTGAGATTCCTAAAAGAGTAAATTTCGCAAACAGAGTCCAAAGCAGCCAAAAGCTGGTCAGGAAAACTCCGGTTCAGACATGAAGTGTGCGTTAGCAACAGCCGTTGGTGTGGACTCTATCAGCATATTGGAGCACTGAGTAACATTCCTTGTAACTGCAGTCCTGAGGAAACACTGTTAAACTGTCGGTACTATAGCTCTTTAAATCGACAGATATTCTCTAGTTTTACTGACTAAAATAGTTTTTGTGTCGAGTGGGAGTTTCAGCATCAGTTACGTTACTTTCCAAGCTTTGTTTAATGAGTGGACGGGGCATTGTAGGTTTAAAAAGACCGCCCAATTATATGGTGACCAATCGGGTTCCATCGAGGTCCAATTTGTCAGCAGGTTTTCATCCAATCACATCAGCTGGTGAGAACATACTTACAGTAGCCCTATGAGTGATCAGACAACTAAACTAGTCTCCCACAATCACTCTCACAGCATTACAGACATTTCTGGTGTCTTTAAGACTTAAAACCACCACACCAAGAAAATCCATCACAAAATATATTTATTAATTTGTCATCAGGAATGAAAGTGCAGCAAAGAAGCAGGCAGGAGAGAAAGTATTTGTGACAGGATCAGCTGTGAGCAGAGGAAGAAGGTGGGGAAGAGGAGGTGACGTAGAAGGGAAGACAGTCCTCTTTCAGTTCATCTGTAATAAGCTTGTCAGATCAGAGAAACTTGTGAATGCACCACCTCTGATACCAGATTTCAATGAATGCTAACTGTTAATTTGATATGGAAATAATTCTAAATTATTTCTGTTATTTCTCATCGTTGCACATTTGTTGATTTAAGTTTCCAGGATGCCTCCAGTTTTATACACATTTGGATTTTTACTGCTCGTCCTTACAAGTAAGCCTCACACAATGTTATGTGATTTTTTTTCTTTAAGATGTACCACTGTGTGTTTATGGTACCAATTAGTTTCATTTTCTCCAAGATGACAAGATAATGCTCTTAAGCTTGCATTTCAAAAATTCAAATTTTACCTCAACAATGACATGAACTGACTTTCTTCACAGGAAAAGTGCAAAGTGTTTCATTCCAACAGTCCTCTCCTCAAGTTGTAAAGGAAGGGACTGTGGAGCTCACGATAAACTGCAGTCATGATGACAGCAGCCTCAGCACTATGTTATGGTACCAACAGAAACAGAGCAGTCGCTCTATGAGCCTCATCGGGTACGTAGTCCTCCAGAATGATCCAGCATACGAGGACCAGTTTAAAGAGTCCAGATTCAAGATAAAAGGAGAAGGCATAAGGAAAGGATCTCTGATCATTCAAACAGTGACTCCATCAGACTCAGCTGTGTATTTCTGCGCTGCCAGCACACAGTGATGTGGTTTAATGTCACCCCCTCACTAAAAACCCTGCTCTCTTTTTCTCTCTTGTTTTCATGCTCAAGATCCTGAGAGGAAGGCTGGTAGAATCAGCCTCAACACAGCTTCATTATTGTTCTGACATTAACACTGGCTGTGATTTGAAACAGATTAAACATAATGAGCTTCTTCACAGTCACACAGTTTCAAAAAATAATGTATATATGAAAGCATTCAAGTCATTTTGCGTATACGCAAAACACACATTGGAATGGGGTGGTATTTATGGCTGCAATGTGAGGGCAACAACTGAATGTAACTACACACTCATTTTATACATGATACCGTGAAACTGCAATATTTTCTGGAGCGATTTTTGTCCCATGAACATCTCATACCTTGCCACTGCCACTATATGCGCTTGCCCCTACAGGAATAGAGTATGTTTTTCTCGCCACTCCCCACAAGCAAAAGCCATGCTTGGCACAGAAAGGGAAGTCATGACAAGAATATGACAAGGCAAAACAGCAACAACCAACAACCTAGGGGGAAGCAATTATCAATATAACCATGAGTATTCGTATTTCACCGAATCAACAGCATGAAAGGGTCATAACAGTGAACAACCAAAAGAAAAAGCTCAGCCACTCAAAGAAATGATTCACAATTAATCTCCATACTGTGCATGGGTAGATGATTAAAGTCTAACAGCAGAAAAACAGCAGCAAAGACAATCCAGCCCACAGCACAACTACTGTTCAGTCATTAAACACGAGACAACAGGAGAGCAGTCTGTTGCAGAGAGCTGTCTGTTACAGCCAACTGTAGCTTAACCAAGCAGCCAAACAGTGACTAACAAAAGTCAAAACATTAACTGGTAATATAACTATAATATTAGCTGTATGCTAGTACAAGCAATAAAATGCTTACTTAGTGAAATGAAGATGTAACTATAATTCCCAGATTAAAAAATGACCGCTGATGACTCACAATAACCCAAACAGTGACATTAGCTAGCTTAGATAACAGTACATTAGTAGCTAGACACCTAGGCTGCTGTCATCTATCCCTACTTCTGTGAGCAAAAAAATTAAGCCAGCACCAAAGATATCAAACACAAGACAGGAGAAGAGCAAAAGGCAGCCAGCCTGGCAGCCTCTTCACTGTTAGCTATCCAAACATTAGCCTCAGTGTTACCAACTGTGCGTCATAACCGTTAGCTAGCTTAGCCAAACGTAGCTGGCTTAGCCAAAACATCAATTTATGATGTAACCATTAGATGTCAGAACAGGCAGCTAATTCTTACCTTGCTGAGATGAAGCTATGATTCCTGGAGATTCCTCAAAGAGGAAATTTCCCAAGCAGAGTCCAAAGCAGCCAAAAGGTGGGCAGGAAAACTCCGGTTCAGACATGAACATACACTAACTAAATTAGTTCTTGGGTCCCATGGTGAGGTTTCAGCGCGAGTTTTGTTACTTTCCAAAGGGTTTAATGAGTGGACAGGGCCTTGTAAGTTTAAAGAGACCACCCACTTATATGGTGACCAATCAGGTTCCATCGAGGTCCAATTTGTCTGCAGGTTTTCATCCAATCACATCAGCTGGTGAGAACATACTTACAGTAGACCTACAAGTAATCAGACTGTAAACAATAAATAATAAAAAATCATATTGTCAACATTTAAGTAATATAAAGAAATCAGAAATCATAAAATAATCATAAATGATAATAATAATTCCATACACCTTTGTTTTTAGTTTCCCACATTCTTTAAAAGTCTCCCACAATCACTCTCACAGCATTACAGACATCTCTGGTGTCTTTAAGACTTGAAACCACCACACCAAAAAAATCCATCACAAAATCTATGTACTTACCAAGCCGAGTCCAAAGCAGCCGAAAGCTGGTCAGGAAAACTCCGGTTCAGACATGAAGTGTGCGTTAGCAACAGCCGTTGGTGTGAGGAACAATCACAGATGGACTCTATCGGCATATTGGAGCACTGAGAAAACATTCCTTGTAACTGCAGTCCTGAGGAAACACTGTTACAGTTTTTCTCAATTGTTTACACGCAATTTTGAAAACAGGGCTCCTTTTTTCAAAATATTCACACAGTTATCCAAACACCACACTCAATTTGCATAACTCCTAGATTGTTTGCAAAATGACACACTTCAGTCAAAACATATACACATATTTATAAAAATGCTGTTTTGTTTTCATCGCACTAACACAGTCTTCAAATGATCAGACACTATTGCAGTCAATTACACACTACAGTGATCAATACAAAATACATTTGTAAAAACCCCTATTTTAGGAAATAGCTGGTCTAGTGCTAGACTTTTTTGCCAGACATTTTTATGTAAGGGATAATTTAGATGACAAAAAGATATTGTCAAACCCACAACATTCTTCATGATTACTTTGAGGTATACAGAGAAAGTACACAAATACAACAAACAAACACAACACTGATTGCAGACTGCTGCAGACTGAAAATATTTATTTCTTACCATACTCAGTTACAGTAACAGATCAACAATGAAAATCAGAACAAAATAGTAGTTTTTCTTACTACTGTAAAGTGTAGACAAATAAAAATTCCTCTGTTGGGTTTAGGAATGGGGAGTATGGTGGAAGGTATAAGACTGCAAATTCAGGGTGCTCATGGAACCAATTGTGGACCAGAGCAGATCCATGGAAAGATACATTGTCCCAAACGACAATGTACTGCATGTGGTCCACTTGGTTGACAGTAAGCACCTGTGTGCTTCCACACCAGGTGGATGTGATTATCCAATTCGTTCATTAGTGTGGTCGCTGGCAAGCAGGGGCTTTGTAATGAGAAGGAAGTAACCTCACAATCCTTATCTGTGTCTAAGGTGTGATAATGCGTGTAGAGTTTTGCAAATCACTGTGTGTAATGTTTTGCAAAAAGTGTGAAGCTGAGTCTGTGCTTATTGTTGTGCAACTATGGACAGGTGTTTTGCTTCTTGAGTGTAGAGCTGTTAATTGTGTGAAAATTTTCATTTTAGTGCGTAAACAACTGTAAAAAACTGTAAAGGCCATATGGCCAAAAAATATCTTTAAAAAAAAAAGAAATAAAAGTGCAGCAAAGAAGCAGGCAGGAGAGAAAGTATTTGTGACAGGATCAGCTGTGAGCAGAGGAAGAAGGTGGGGAAGAGGAGGTGATGTAGAAGGGAAGACAGTCCTCTTTCAGTTCATCTGTAATAAGCTTGTCAGATCAGAGAAACATGTGAATGCACCACCTCTGATACCAGAATTCAGTGAATGCTAACTGTTAATATGATATGGAAATAATTGTAAATTATTTTTGTTATTTCTCATCGTTGCACATTTGTTGATTTAAGTTTCCAGGATGCCTCCAGTTTTATACACATTTGGATTTTTACTGCTCGTCCTTACAAGTAAGCCTCACACAATGTTATGATTTTTTTTCTTTAACGTGTACCACTGTGTGTTTATGGTACAAATTTGTTTCATTTTCTAGAAGGTTGTCAAGATAATGATCTTTAACTTTTATTGCTTAAATTCAAATTTTACCTCAGCAATGGCATGAACTGACTTTCTTCACAGGAAAAGTGCAAAGTGTTTCATTCCAACAGTCCTCTCCTCAAGTTGTAAAGGAAGGGACTGTGGAGCTCACGATAAACTGCAGTCATGATGACGGCAACCGCAACACTATACTGTGGTACCAACAGAAACAGAGCAGTCGCACTATGAGCCTCATCGGGTACGTAGTCCTCCAGAGTGATCCATCGTACGAGGACCAGTTTAAAGAGTCCAGATTCAAGATAAAAGGAGAAGACATAGGGAAAGGATCTCTGATCATTCAAACAGTGACTCCATCAGACTCAGCTGTGTATTTCTGCGCTGCCAGCACACAGTGATGTGGTTTAATGTCACCCCCTCACTAAAAACCCTGCTGCATCTTTTAACAGCTGCTGCTCAGGAGTTCAGTTACTTGAGAACTGAAGATATGATGCTGTTTCATTCTATTTTCATTATATGATGATGTAACTGAACAGGTTCTGCTAATGTAAATGTATTCAGTGCAAACAATACACATATTGATTATTTTTATATTATAATCAGTAATCAAAATGTAATCATTGTACGCCTATAAGCAGTGTTGGACTCAGCACATTCGGTGCCCTCTAGGCAAGCTTCCCCTGCAGCCACCCTCACTTCCCCCACCCCGAAAAACATAATATTATCTTTTTTGTTTTTGTTTTAATTCCATACAAGAATAAGAGCCAATGAGAAGTCAACACAAATAAACACTTCACTAACAACCAGTATAAGAATACTGTGTGTACAAATGTGCAGATTTCCTCCTTTTTTGCCTTTTCATTTTCTCTTACACCAATGCTCTCCACATATGCTCCAGCCATCCATACCTATTAATGCTCCTGCATGTTCTGACTGTGTTGATCACTCACTGATAAACACATTAAGGTGAACTGCATGGCCAGGAATAGAGGCGGTACCCCTACTAGAGACTCACTGTTTGCATAGGAGCTTTGGATTTTGTCATTTTTTAACATAAGTTCCACAACAACCCTATTTTAATGTGTAATGTATTTGTACATGTTAGATGATTCAGTATTTTTAAAATAGGTTGGTTGTCATTTGCTTAAAAAGACAAATATAGAGCTTTAATTTGACGGAGTGCATTGACTGTAAGGAACAAAATTATCTGTGGGAACAAGTCTTCTAGGGTCATATTCACAAAGCTTCACAGTTCTGAGAGTCGCTTCCAGTGACGAAATTCTAAGAAAAGTCTTAGAATTGTGACATTTTCCTAGAATTTCCCTTAAAGTTAAGACTAAGTCCTTGTAAAGATAAAAGTTATTCACAGAGCATCTTAGACCTTAAAAGAGCTCCTAAGGTGACCAATTGTCAGGAGCAGGGAGGAGGACTTTAAGAGCCTCAAGAGTTTCTTAATCAGAGGAGAAAATGGTGGAAACACAAAGAGGTCGGAGAAATACTCTCCAAATGCTGGATGACAGTGAGGAAATGAAATTCTACAGATTAGATCGTGCAGGGATAATATGTGTGGTTGATCTCACCAGGGATATACACACACATTTCCCACCTAGTGCTATGACGCCAGAAATAAAATGATCACGACACTACGATATTTGGAAAACTGGAAACATGCAGCAGAGATGAGTTGAGTCTGTCTCAACCTTCCATCAGCAGAGTGATTACACTAACAATGACAACACTTTCACAGTCAGCAGTTCACTTCATTTCCACTGGGTGTCCACACCTTGCTGGCTCACACAAGGGCGTGTCTGTGACAACCAATCACATCTGTTAAAAGAATGCATCACACCTAACAACAGGGTCAACCACACCTCCTCAGTAAAGTAAAAGTTTTTGTCCCTTCCTCATTCAGAGTTGCTCTGAGAACTTTCCCAAATCACTCCTAAGCTGGGACTCCTTACTAAAAGTTTTTAGACTATGTTAGGAGCTCTCTGAGAGTGTTCTCAGAATGTGCCTGAGGACAGAGTTGTTTTAACTCTGAACTGTTTTTGGACGTCAAAATGAAGCTGCTCTTGGTTGCTGTTCTCATCTTCAACAGTAAGAACATTTTGATTCAGTAGAAAAGCGTTTTCTTCATCATCCTCATTGAAATAGTTAATTTACTAGTTGTCTTTTTCTAATTCTCCAGGTTCCACCTTCTGTGTAAAAATCACCCAGCCTCCATTTATATTTAGCCGTGAAGGAGACTCAGCTGTGACTCTACAGTGTGAACACGATGACAATAACCATTTCTACATGTACTGGTACATACAGAGCAGCGGTGCTAACATGCAGCTGGTAACATATTCAACTGGTAAAGATACTGCAAGAACTGAAGCTCCTTTCAACGAGTCAAGGTACACCATGTTCCGGCCTGAAGTGCTTCAGTCGTCTCTGCAGATCAAGTCTGCGGAGGCTGGAGACTCAGCTGTGTATTACTGCGCCTCCAGTAGAGCACAGTGATTCAGAAAGCCTCATCAGCTTAACAACAACATCAGGACACCAAGGAGAGATGACAGAGAGGAGGGATGAGTGAGGAGGGTTAATGTGTTGAATAAAGGTCTATAAAAGGCAAATGTGACATAAAAATAAAAATTAGGACACCAACTGAAAAAGAAAACCTTTAAACAACAAATTGATGAACTTCATTAGTTTATTAAAGGCACAGGAGTTGCCGTCAGTGACGTTCCTGCAACACCACAAAGCTGATCAGCTCAGATAAGTCAGCAGGTGTTAACACTGTTAGGTTTCTACATCCCAGAAGACATTATAACCCTGCGCAGTGTCTCATCTCTGTCACTCTGTGCTCAAGTCTACAATTTCTTATATTATTTAATTCTGTCTGCAGCCAGAAGAAAAAGATCAAAGTTTATCAATTTCAAGAGGTTATCACACACTGACCTCTGCAGGGTTCATGTGGGATTACACTTAAATAAATTAAAAAAAAAAAATCCCTGAGTGCACAGACGGATTAATTGCTGGGCCTATTGGGCACTGGCTTTCACTGCAAAGTGTCATACATTAACAAGTACTGACGACAGAGAGACTCAAGATGACAAGAAAAAGATGCAAAGGAGCTGCAAAAAGACACAAAATTACCTCAAAGACACACAAATTAACTACATAAAGTGGCAAAACAGCTACACAGACACAAAACGAGTAAAAAAAAGACAAAATTACTTAAGAGGCACAATATAATTGTGTAAAGAGGCAGAACAGCTACAAAGAGACACAAAATGACCAAAATAGATGCAAAATTACTTAAAAAAGACACAAAATAACTACTTACAGAGGCTAAATGGCTGCAGTCACACAAAATGACAAGACACAAAATTACCTCATAGAGACACAAAATAACTACATGAAGAGGCATAACAGCCACAAAGTGACACAATATTACTACATAAAGAGGCAAAACAGCTAGAGACACAAAAAGAGTAAAAAAAAAAGACAAAATTACTTAACAGAGACACAATATAACTATGTAAAGAGGCAGAACAGCTACAAAGAGACACAAAATGACCAAACAAGATGCAAAATTACTCAAGAGAGACACAAAATAACTACTTACAGAGGCAAAACGGCTGCAAAGTGACACAAAATGACAAAAAAAAGACTCAAAATTACCCCAAAGAGACACAAAATGACCAAAAAAAGAGGCACAAAATAACTACCTAAAAAGGCAGAACAGCTACAAAGCCACACAAAACGACCAAAAAAAAGACACAAAATAACCCCAAAGAGACACAAAATGACCAAAAAAGACACAAAATTACCTCATAGAGACACAAAATGACCAAAAAAGACACAAAATTACCTCATAGAGACACAAAATAACTACATAAAGAGGCAAAACAGCTACAAAGAGACACAAAACGACTAAAAAAAAAAAAAAGCCACAAAATTACGAAGTGAAACCACCTCAAGGTCTGAGTATCTTGCTCCTAGTTAGGAGAGGTGGTGGGAGCTTTACATATCTGTGCCTGAGGGTCAGTTGTCTCATAATCTGCCTGTGTACGTGTGTTTTTATTTAGAAGTCAGGATAAAACTTCAAATTAAAGTGATATCAGATGGAACTGCAGTGAAGAATTAATCTGAATAAGCTGCAAGTTACATTCAGCACAAAAGTGACCTCTACAGTGCAGCTGTGAAATAAATCATGAACTGCTTAAAATGTTTCACTGTTCAGTAGATACAAAACTACCATAAAAAATATTTCAAATATGAGCTCACTACCAATCATTTGGTTAAACATTTATCTAAATGAAAGAAAAAAATGAATTGCACAGTGTAACACCTCAGTAGACAGAGTAATGTCTTAATTAAAGATTACATTCAACATAGGAACATATGTATATAAGCATTGAATTCACCAATGTCATCAAAAGACAACATATATAGCCAAAGATAATTTGCAGCGGCGCATTGTAACTAAATACATTAACTCATAAATAAAGTACAAGTACTTCAAAATTGTACTGGAGTATTTCCTTCATACTTCTACTCAGATTTTAAATGGAAATATTGTACTTTTTCTCCATTATTTATTAATTTGGCATCTTTACTTTGCTGAAAAAATTACACAAAAATGCAAAAATATAGGCTAATCTACAAATAAAAATGTTTATTATAGACTGATATTTTAAAGTAGTTAAAATTAGCTCCATAATTTATCAGCTGCAACATTAAAGTGATACCTACATGTTGATGCATCATTAAATTACGATCCAATAATATATATCATTCTGAAATGGGCCAAAAGTATGTATGTGTATGTTTGGTACTTTATTTTATAGCCATTTTGAATGCAAGACTTCTATTTCTAACTTTGGCACTTAAAAACTATGTCTTATAAATATAATGTGATTATTTGTTGCCAAGGAATTTATTATTTTTATGCAATTTTTGAATGATTTAGTATGGATATTTAATGCATTGTCTGTTTTAAAGACTTACGTTGAAGTAAAACATTATTTATTACATTTATTATTATCATTTATTGTAATTATTATCTATTAAAATGTTCAGTAAAAAAATAACAATTTAAGGATCGCCATCATCTGATGAATATTTTATCTTTCATTGATATTTCATACTTGTAGATGAATTATTGGTCATATGTGAAAATATAATTTGTATCCTATAATGGTAATTTTTTTGCAAGTTCAATCCATGTCTACTAAATTTATATTATTCACATTATTTCTGGATTAAATTATCATTATTATTTTTCTAATAAGGTTAAAATCACATTGATAAAAAAAAAGTTTATATGAATGTGTAGCTCAGCATCTCAGTACAGGCTTGATTCATACATGCAGATTAATTTGTCTGCATATGAGGTTGTGTCTCGTCAGTGTTGCACCCTGTTTTGTCTCATCTAAAATCAGTGATCTGTCAGTGTCACTCAGTAAACATGTCTCCTCCTCAGCTGGCTGATAACTGGGAGGATGAAGAGGTGTGACCAGCAGAGATGTCCCTCCCTCTGAACTTCTACAAACACAAACAAAGACCAGTTTCCTTTTCCTCCCCTCTGTTCTCACTTCTTTTCTTAGCTGTCACAGAAATAGCAGCAGTCAGGTTGGAGCTCGTTCATCCGTCAGTCAGCCCGACCTGCACAGCTGCTCTCTCACACACACACAGAGATGGAGGCTGAGATATGGAGGAGCTGGGTGGGGGAGGGAGAGATGAGAGAAGCGAAGAGACGGCAGGTTTTTGTGTGATGCTTTTTCACCGTGGGGACAGGGGGCCACGGTGATACAACCCCATAGAGCCGCCGTACAAAAACCTCCTCCCATTAACACCCATTGTGTAGACGGCTACAAGCTGCCTGACACACTGAGGAGAGCAGAAATATCAATAATATGAAGGTGTAGAGGACGGCAGCACACTCTGGTGTCAAACTGTTCATTTATATGTAAAAAACTGGCAGGAAAAGTAGTTTTTAAAATGACTTTCAAATCATATGTGAAGCATCAGGATGCTTCTTTCACTCATCTTGACATAAAGGATATATTTGGACATTATAAAGCTCGTCCTGCGTGTTTGAACCTTCTTCATCCTCTGGATCATCACACTGTGTCTCTACATGCTGATTATGGAATGTTTAGAGACTTTTTGGTGGAGGATACACTCAGTGTGACACTGGGACTGAAGCTCACTTTGGAAAGGGGACAAAACTCACTGTTTTGGGTAAGTAGGATCTGTCACTGCTTCAGTTCACTGAGACAAATTCAGAACAGTCAAAAATGTTGGTTTGACAGTGAAGGAAAAAGAGTTTGTTATGAAAAAGCTGAAATATTGAGCTGAAGTGAGAACACTGTGACCTACACTGACCCTGCTTACTTTGGCCAAGGAACCAAACTGACTGTTTTAGGTAAATATTCCAGTTTAATACTGTGTTTCTATAAATGTCACGTTGCTTTAGAGTCTCAGTATTAACAGAGGTATCAGTAAAAAGTTTCCAAAGTTAAATCTGGTGGTGAAAAAGTCAAGAGTTTCTTGCTTAGTATTTCTGCACTGTGACAATTTTAACGAAGCTTACTTTGGAAAAGGAACCAAACTGACTGTTTTAGGTAAGTCAAGAATAATTCACATTTAACTAACTGTAACTGGAACATTGATATAAGAAACATAACTGGTCTTTATAGTTGAAACTCAGCTCAGAGCTTTTTAGTGTTACGCTTAAGCGCTGTGCCAATTACGAAGCCTATTTCGGCCAGGGAACTAAACTGACTGTTCTCGGTAAGTAACACATCAAACCTTTGATTAATTCACCTGTAACAGAAGTAAAACATACAAGCAGGATGGTTGTTGAAAGAAACAGTTTCTGTTACATTAGACTTGTAAAAAACAGACTGCAGTGCAGCATGTGTTATCTTGGAATTTAAAGAAAAGTGACATTTAATACATTAAAAACAACCAAAATGTAAAGCTCCAAAGTAAAAGCAGCATCTTGGGCTGTTTTGAGCACTGATCACATTCACTGTGACACTGGTGCTAATGAAGCTTTCTTTGGTGGAGGAACAAAGTTAACTGTTTTAGGTAAGAAATCAAAACTAATGAAAAAACATTGTTATTGTGACTTTAAGAAACTAACTGTACTCACGTCTAGTTTAAGTTCTGCTCAGAGGTTTTTATTCTTAAGCTTAAACGTTGCGTCCGTTTGAAACCTGTTTGAGCCAGGGAACAAAACTGACTGAAGTTAACATAAAGTCTAACAAAGTGATAGTAACTGTACACGTTTTTGGAGAAAACAGGCTGTAGCTGTTGATTTTAAAGGGAACGTAATATTTATAACAAAACTAAAATGTAAAGATTCAAAGTAAAAGCAGCATCTTGGGCTGTTTTAGCACTGATTAAGTTCACTGTGACCCAGGGCACAGAAGCTTTCTTCGGTGGAGGAACAAAGTTAACTGTTTTAGGTAAGAAATCAAAACTAATGGCGATAAAAGCATTGTTATTGGCGTGTTTCTTTAAGAAACTCATGGCAGAACTTAGA